TATTGCTGACAAACTGAACAGTTACAGGGATATTTCTGTAAGTAACTGTGGCGTTGCCTTTGCTCTTGAGGACTACTTTAATGAGGATGACGACAACCTGGATACATTCACAACAGGTAATAGTGACGTGATATACTAATACTTTCACAACAGGTAACAGTGACGTGATATACTAATACATTCACAACAGGTAACAGTGACGTGATATACTAATACATTCACAACAGGTAACGGTGACGTGATATACTAATACATTCACAACAGGTAACAGTGACGTGATATACTAATACATTCACAACAGGTAACATTGACGTGATATACTAATACATTCACAACAGGTAACAGTGACGTGATATACCAATACATTCACAACAGGTAATAGTGACGTGATATACTAATACATTCACAACAGGTAACCGTGACGTGATATACTAATACATTCACAACAGGTAACGGTGACGTGATATACTAATACATTCACAACAGGTAACAGTGACGTGATATATTAATCCATTCACAACAGGTAACAGTGACGTGATATACTAATACATTCACAACAGGTAACAGTGACGTGATATACTAATACATTCACAACATGTAACAGTGACGTGATATACTAATACATTCACAACAGGTAACAGTGACGTGATATATTAATACATTCACAACAGGTAATAGTGACGTGATATACTAATACATTCACAACAGGTAATAGTGACGTGATATACTAATACATTCACAACAGGTAATAGTGACGTGATATACTAATACATTCACAACAGATAATAGTGACGTGACACACTAATACATTCACAACATGTAACAGTGACGTGATATACTATTATATTCACAACAGGTAACAGTGACGTGGTATACTAATACATTCACAACAGGTAATAGTGACGTGATATACTAATACATTCACAACAGGTAATAGTGACGTGATATACTAATACATTCACAACAGGTAATAGTGACGTGATATACTAATACATTCACAACAGGTAATAGTGACGTGATATACTAATACATTCACAACAGGTAACGGTGACGTGATATACTAATACATTCACAACAGGTAACAGTGACGTGATATACCAATACATTCACAACAGTTAACAGTGACGTGATATACTAATACATTCACAACAGGAAATAGTGACGTGATATACTAATACATTCACAACAGGTAATAGTGACGTGATATACTAATACATTCACAACGGGCAACAGTGACGTGATATACTAATACATTCACAACAGGTAATAGTGACGTGATATACTAATACATTCACAACAGGTAATAGTGACGTGATATACTAATACATTCACAACAGGTAATAGTGACGTGATATACTAATACATTCACAACAGGTAATAGTGACGTGATATACTAATACATTCACAACAGGTAACGGTGACGTGATATACTAATACATTCACAACATGTAACAGTGACGTGATATACCAATACATTCACAACAGTTAACAGTGACGTGATATACTAATACATTCACAACAGGTAATAGTGACGTGATATACTAATACATTCACAACAGGTAATAGTGACGTGATATACTAATACATTCACAACGGGCAACAGTGACGTGATATACTAATACATTCACAACAGATAATAGTGACGTGACACACTAATACATTCCCAACATGTAACAGTGACGTGATATACTTTTATATTTACAACAGGTAACGGTGACGTGATATACTAATACATTCACAACAGGTAACAGTGACGTGATATACTAATACATTCACAACAGTGACGTGAAATACTAATACATTCACAACAATTAACAGTGACGTGATATACTATAATATTCACAACAGGTAACAGTGACGTAATATACTAATACATTCACAACAGTGACGTGATATACTTATAAATTCACAACAGTTAACAGTGACGTGATATACTATAATATTCACAACAGGTAACAGTGACGTAATATACTAATACATTCACAACAGTGACGTGATATACTAATACATTCACAACAGTTAACATAGACGTGATATACTAATACATTCACAACAGTGACGTGATATACTAATACATTCACAACAGTTAACAGTGACGTGATATACTATAATATTCACAACAGGTAACAGTGACGTAATATACTAATAGATTCACAACAGTGACGTGATATACTTATACATTCACAACAGTTAACAGTGACGTGATATACTATAATATTCACAACAGGTAACAGTGACGTAATATACTAATACATTCACAACAGTGACGTGATATACTAATACATTCACAACAGTTAACATAGACGTGATATACTAATACATTCACAACAGTGACGTGATATACTAATACATTCACAACAGTTAACATAGACGGGATATACTATAATATTCACAACAGGTAACAGTGACGTAATATACTAATACATTCACAACAGTGACGTGATATACTTATACATTCACAACAGTTAACAGTGACGTGATATACTATAATATTCACAACAGGTAACAGTGACGTAATATACTAATACATTCACAACAGTGACGTGATATACTAATACATTCACAACAGTTAACATGGACGTGATATACTAATACATTCACAACAGTGACGTGATATACTAATACATTCACAACAGTTAACAGTGACGTGATATATGACGAAACCATTTGAAAATTTTGAAATGTTCCCCAACCTATGGAAATGCCTATAATTCAAATCCTAGGGATCTTAGAAAGGAGTCGAAAATTTCAACATCTATTGCAATTAAAAGGAAAGCATTGACAATACTCTATGATTAAGTATTTACTGAGGTATTAACATCTGAATTCATGCTTGGAAATGTCTGCAAATACGGTCAAAGCATTCACGACATTGGTGCTTGTGCATACAAAAATACACGCTGATCATGTGTTTCAAAGGTGTAGCTTCTTCAGGATTAAAGTTGTATTTGTTGACATTGCCTCACGTGAGCAAATTCCATGATGCGCGAAACGCTTCATAGTAAATTTGCTCACGTGAGTCACTGTCTTCATCAGCTGATGAACGTCAACAAATACAACTTCAATCCTTATATTGGAAGATACATAAATCATAACAAAACAATCCACAAAACACCAAACTTTGATTATATAAAGTGAACTATATCAACGCGGAGAGTTCTGACGTCGTGACGTCATCAATCCCAAACATTCCATTTAGAGTGACATCCCTTGGTTTGGCAAACGGCAGAAAATGGCGGCTACGGCAATGCCATTCACTTGAAACAAAAGTTGCACCCAGTAAAGTATGCGTTAGAAAGAAATCCAGACCAGGCTGGCGCTAAATATGGATTGATATTAACGTTCTGTGAACTTTCGGTGTGTGTTTGAGCCATACTACAGCTGCTGGTGACGGGGATTACCGCTTGAGGCGGCGCTGTTGGATTTCCCGAAGCAGTACACGACATTGTGGAGCTCAGTGATTTCTTTTGGTAAGGCGAGCATTCTCTGTTATAGCTTCGAATGGACGCTTCATTTGGACATATACATGATCTGTCTGGCCTCAAACCCCGCATCATTCATAGCCTGAATCGATGTCGTCAGTTGTCCCTTATGATTTTTAATGTTATTTTTAGACATTGAGGCATTCCCCTGAAGTAGTCCTTTATGCCTCCGCTCGACTGACAACGTAATCACGTGACATACTGACATTCATCGGGAAATGAACGACAGTCAGCTTGGTAGTAATTACCTAGGCGAGGTCACCCGCTACTGTCAATATAAATGAAATAAACGCCCAAAGTTCACATCGGGAAACTATAGTTCATAGTTAGAAAAATCCGGTCATTGCATATGTTTCCTACTCTATTTGCGTTCGTTTTAATGGTGTAAAATCCGGCTTTTGGTCCTCTGCATGTGTAACAATGAGTGAGTGAGAGAGTTGGGTTTAACGCCGCTTTTAACAGTATTCCAGTTATATCGCGGCGTGTCAGCTTAATGTGGGAGAGAAGCCCGAAGTGATGCAGGTCTCAGACGTTTACCACTTCGGTGAAACCCACGAGCACGGGTATGGTGCTGACAAACCTAGAAACATAATCGGGGCGAAACGGGATTCGGACCCACAATCATAGGTTTCTGGCATGCCCAAGGGACGCAACTCTGCACAGCGAATCGCGGCGCCTTAGACGACTGGGCCACCCGTGCGCCCGCAAGTGTAACAAAGTATAAACGACATTAATAGTGTTCATCGTTAACGGTACAAATTTAATAATTGGGCAAGCGGCAATGCTGACTTTAAAGGAAGTTTAGAAAAACAGACAATATGCAAGACAGTACATTCACATTAAATATTATTTAAGATATATAATAAAGACAGGTTAAAGTACATTACTACAGGTTAATAAATAATAATGAATAAAAGGTATAATATTGAAGTACTAAATACATAACGTGTTTTTAAGCGGATCAATTCGTTAGATAGAAGGCCCCGTCCAAGGGCCATTATTGTTGGGAATGTCGTCACTGACCAAAGTAAAAATGCATAGATTCGGTGATATTGTTGATTTGCCTGGAAACTGAGCAGTCTTGCTTAATTAGAATTTAACCAAAAGATGTAACACTTACAATGTGGTCATATCAAATTATCTATCGTAAACAACCAATCTATTAGACTTAGAACTGATATAATTATATAACTAACACTTTTGATAAACACTTAATGTTTATTTTATGATATAAAGAAAAGAAGAGCATTGCAACATTATTTTAATCATCTCAAGAAGTCGGCGAGAGGGTTCAGTATACAGCTGGTGAGAAAGTCAGATAGGTCTGGTGCCACTGCCTGTGAATAAGGGATCTGGGGAGGGAGACTTGCCGCCAGTCTTATGTAACCCTACTCGCCTCTGGCTTCAGGTTTACAAATGTACCTGCATTTCTCAATGGCCTCCTGCACACGGCACATAGAAGCCTTCCCAATCTCAGCCAGCCGTGATCACCTAGCGGGAATCATAATTAAACGCTTATCTGGAATGCACATTGCCACGAAACACACCATAGGTCTCCACACTGACAGCTTCCAACATTCTCACCAGCGTGCTGCACATGTGTGCGTTTCATGAGCCTTCAGCGTTGAATGTAAGTGTTTTTTTCTTTTTCAATCAGTCTGTTCCAGTACTCAATTCTTTAAAAAACGTTTCACTTTGTCAGCATATTTTAGTGAAGCCGACCATTCCCTGTTCACAATGTTATATTGATATATAGTGTTATATCGATATATAGTGTTTATTTGAACACTATTCTACCATAACATTTTGCGATCCTACTTTCTGATTTGTTTGCCTGTGGTATTTATTGTAATACGCAAATCACCACAGAAAATATTTATTTCAAATATTTCTTTCTTTCACAAACCTGATCGGTAAGCGATTTCAAAAACTACTTCAACACCATAATCGTTGCGAAGCACCTTGTTTGGGATCAACCACATCAGTGTTCCGCCGTCTCACTTTTTATCAGAATCGATCTTACACATGTTTTACACAATGACGATTTACGTTGGTTCAATACTGTAACTAATAAACCAGTGCCAACAACACTTTTGTAACAGCAAAACCCGAGAGCAGACAGTTCGAAAAAGGTTCCGAGATCCATTTGAAATGTTTACCTCCTTATCCCTCTTCTGATAATGCCAAATAATATGTTTCTGCTTCAAAGGACCCCGCTAACGCAGAATCGCAAGCCACATGTAATATGGGCGAAACACTCTGCATGGTGCCACCGACGGTGACCATGGTGACTGACAGAGGGGGAAATTTTCCAAGGAACCTGGCTTTGTGACCTCATGTGGTTGTAGCCTAACCCAGAAGGAAATACAACGACATGTCAGATTTGTATAAATCATGTTTAACCAATCTTCAATGGCAAATTCAAAGCATTCTAATTTTACAACGAGTTCCTTTAAGAGACATGCTAACGGCATCTGAGAGAGATGCCATGCGAAACATTCTGTGTATCGCGAACGGTACTTGTGGACGATGATTCTGCATCAATAACCTGCACATTTATCGGGTTTTAAGTTTTACTGGATCTGTCAGGGTGGCCCCATAAGTTTAGAAAATAAGCCCATTATTTATGCTGAAGGGGTCCCTGTTTCCACTTGTTCAGTTTCTTGGCAGAACACTGAAGTTTTTATGTATGCAATGTATTATGTATCACTTTACGACAATTGTTTTCAATCTGCTACTTGATCTGGTCGTTATGAGGTTGAGTATTGCCAATGCAATGTTAATCTGCTGATCTATGAGATGGCGAGGTGAAATGGGCTTACATACTTAGATTTGTGCATGCACGTGTATGTGTGTGTGTGTGTAAGTGTGTTTGTCTGCTTGTGGTGAAATGGGTTTATATACTTAGATATGTGCATACGTGCGCGTGTGTGTGTGTGTGTGTGTGTGTGTGTGTGTGTGTGTGTGTCTGCTTGTGTCTGCTTGTGTCTGCTTGTGTTTATCCAGTCAAATGCTGATTTTATAGTGCTAGCCCACTAAGATACCATGCCGCAGTGTTAACATGACTACCCCACTCAGACACAGTATACTGACTCCGAGCCGACCAGTCCTTGTTTTAGTCCCGTAATGCCGAGCGCCAGACAGGGTAACAGCAAGTACCATCATATAACGTCTTTTGGTATGACGTGGCCGGGGATCGAACTCTCGACTTTTCGCTCTCCGGGCAGACGCTCTACCACCAGACAACAGAGGGGGTCCAATCTTTCTGTGTGTTTCCGATTCCTGGTGTGTCTTTTGTGAAGTATAAGAGGAATATGTTGGCCCAGTCGTCTTAGGAGCTGCTATTCGCGGTCCGTAAGTAACCGGTGGCGATCGGGTAGCCTGGTGGTTAAAGCGTTCGCTCGTAACGCCGAAGACCCGGGTTCGATTCCCGAGATGGGTACAATGTGTGAAGCCAATGTCTGAGGTCCCCCGCTGTGATAGTGCTGGAATATTGCTAAAGGCGGCGTAAAACCATACTCTGGATCAGACAAACCAGTGATAGATAATATTATCAACGATCCACGCCGTAAGGATACAATGACACGCAATCAACCAGCTGAAGGTCACTAGGTCACTAGGCCTGTCCATCCGATCCATTAAGTCGCCTCTTACAACATAGGTTGTTGTGGACCTTTTCTAACCTGGATTATTCTCTTAGACATTATAATAGCAACTTTCGTCTACAAGACAATACATACATGAATATTTCTTTCCATCTGCCAGAAAATGTTTGTCACAAAACAGAAACTCTGATAGAAAGAATATTAGAAAGATAATTCTGTTGTTCTTAAATATATATTTTAATTCATTCCAAGATAAGATTACAATTAAATTATCATTTATATAAGAATACGTGTCACGCAATTCCTTCTGTTTGAGGTGTAGACATTATCAATAAGCTCTAAAACAATGCAAAGCTTTGCAGAAAGAAGGGGAAATGACATGAATGAACCGCTGATAATCAGTGATGACACCAGGTATTCGCCAAAAGGTTAAGCGTGTCCTGCCCTACAAACACCACAAGCAACATGCAGTTAACTAGAAAGTGTTCATCTGGCCAACTCGCCGTCGGGGTAAAGTCGAGCGTGAAAGGGAAGCATTTCAACGTTATTCGAAACAAGTAACAGCTGCAGAATACATTGACCAGAGATGTACCTGAAGTGTGTGATGAGTCATTATCCTTGCATTTCTACATAGCCTAGATATAAGCCCCTAGACTGGTGCATGGTTCACACGGCGAATTGTTGTAGTTTTTAACAACATCCGATGGAAAGTAATCTAAGTTTGCACTGCCTCAACCTTGTCAAGGAGATACTATGAAATGTGATGCCAAAATAAAAACTGTATTTCTTTACACATTCCGAAACGGTACTATCTAGCAGTCTTGTAGCAGACAACATTATAAGTGAGTGAGTGAGTTTAGTTCAACGACGCTTTGAACAACAGTTCAGTGATATCGCGGGGTGTGATCTTGAAGTGGGAGGAAAGCCCAAAGTGATGTACGTCTGAGACGTTTACTACTTTGGTGAAACCCACGAATACGGTGCTGACAAACGTGGACACCTAATCAGGGCAAATCTTGGATTCGACCCCACGATCCAGGGACTGACTTAGTCGCCATTTCATGTCATCACTTTGAAAATATTAAATTAAGATCTAAACACACATTATAGAGCTCATCCGCCGAGCTAGAGGCCTCGAGGGCTTTCCGCAATAATGTTTTGATTTGCGCATAATATTTCCGCTCAGTGGGACATTGGGCGCATTCATGTAGATGAAGTTTCTTTTTCTTGTTATAGTTGCGTCCCTTGGGCACGCCAGAAACCTTTGATTGTGAGTTCGAATCCAGGTTCGCCCCGATTATGTTTCTAGGTTTGTTAGCACCATACCCGTGCTCTCGGGTTTCACCGAAGTGGTAAACGTCTGAGACCTGCATCACTTCGGGCTTTCCTCCCACATTAAGCTGACACGCCGTGATATAACTGGAATACTGTTAAAAGCGGCGTTAAACCCAACTCACTCACTCATTTTATTTTCATATAACTATGGGAGTCGCCGACTGTCTAAAACCATATTTTGCATCACTCGGACAGCTTTTTCAATTATTGAATGTAAACTTCCTGACTTTCGTTGCCTTATGCGTCTGACTATTATCTCAGCGCCTTTCATAGGCTGAAAGGCATAAATGGTCCAATCAGAATCGATCTAACACATGTTTTACACAATGACGATTTACGTTGGTTCTGTACTATAAACCAGTACCAACATCACTTTTGTAACAGCAAAACCCGAGAGCAGACAGTTCGAAAAAGGTTCCGAGATCCATTTGAAATGTTTGCCTCCTTATCCCTCTTCTGATAATGCCAAATAATATGTTTCTGCTTCAAAGGACCCCGCTAACGCAGAATCGCAAGCCACATGTAATATTAGCGAAACACTCCGCATGGTGCCACCGACGGTGACCATGGTGACTGACAGAGGGGGAAATTTTCCAAGGAACCTGGCTTTGTGACCTCATATAGTTGTAGCCTAACTCAGAAGGAATTACAACGACATGTCAGATTTGTATAAATCATTGTTAACCAATCTTCAATGGCAAATTCAAAGCATTTTAATTTTACAACGAGTACCTTTAAGAGACATGCTAATTGCATCTGAGAGAGATGCCATGCGAAACATTCTGTGTATTGCGAACGGTACTTGTGGACGATGATTCTGCAATAATAACCTGCACATTTATCGGGTTTTAAGTTTTACAGGATCTGTCAGGGTGGCCCCATAAGTTTAGAAAATAAGCCCATTATTTATGCTGAAGGGGTCCCTGTTTCCACTTGTTCAGTTTCTTGGCAGAACACTGAAGTTTTTATGTATGCAATGTATTATGTATTATCTTTACGACAATTGTTTTCAATCTGCTACTTGATCTGGTCGTTATGAGGTTGAGTATTGCCAATGCAATGTTAATCTGCTGATCTATGAGATGGCGAGGTGAAATGGGCTTACATACTTAGATATGTGCATGCGTGCGTGCGTGCGTGCGTGCGCGTGCGTGTGTGTGTGTGTATGTCTGCTTGTGGTGAAATGGGTTTATATACTTAGATATGTGCATGCGTGCGCGCGCGCGCGCGCGCGTGCGTGCGTGTGTGTGTGTGTGTGTGTGTGTGTGTGTGTTTATGTGTGTATGTCTGCTTGTGGTGAAATGGGCTTATATACTTAGATATGTGCATGCGTGCGTGCGTGTGTGTGTGTGTGTATGTGTATGTGTATGTGTGTATGTCTGCTTGTGGTGAAATGGGCTTATATACTTAGATATGTGCATGCACGTGTGTGTGTGTGTGTGTGTGTGTGTGTGTGTGTGTGTGTGTGTGTGTGTGTGTGTGTGTGTGTGTGTGTGTGTGTGTGTGTGTGTGTGTCTGCTTGTGTCTTCTTGTGTTTGTCCAATCCAATGCTGATTTTAAAGTGCTAGCCCACTGAGATACCATGCCGCAGTGTTAACATGACTACCCCACTCAGACACAGTATACTGACTCCGAGCCGACCAGTCCTTGTTTTAGTCCCGTAATGCCGAGCGCCAGACAGGGTAACAGC